CAGGGGGCAATATTTCTTCTGCAGTCTGTGCATTCTGGCTGCCAAGGCTCTCCTGCCGCCCCGCGCCCTGCCCCACAGACATGTGGCAAGTGCCACTGCCATGCTAGTATGCGGCGTGGCCTTCTCTGTGTTCCTGTGGCCTCTTGCAGGTGAACGCTGATCTTCTGTGTCTTTCTGCCTTCCAGTTCCACGGTCGCTCAGCCGTCCGAGATGCCGCCATCTCCACTGGTCTGGGAGTAAACGTGGAAGATGTACTACTGAAGACATAATGTAGCTTTCCACTGGATTCTGGGATTTGCAATTCTGGACATTTAATCATGCTTGTACTGTAATTTTACTAATGAAGTTTTAAATTAACAACCACTATCCTTGTATGATATATGAATAAGACTTAGAAATGTTAACTAGGCTTTTAAAATTCCTGTCACGGGTGGGGTTGTGCTTTTAGGAGAAGAAAAAAATTATTTTATCCAGAGTTGCACATGTTTTGTTTTTAAAGTATGAATTGTAGCGCAGCTGTAATCTTGCTTGGCTCTGAACAAACAGAGGGTTTGAACCAAATTGGTGGGGAAGTTGCTTTAAAAATAAATAAATGATGGGGCTTTTCTTCTTCTTCTTTTTTCCAAGTGGATAAGTCATTTTTGATATTGAGCCATTCCTGAAGATTAGGGATTTTTTTCTAAAACAAGAGAATAAAAAGTTTAGGGAGTACAGAAGTTTTTAAAACTGTGACCAATCATGAAACCCACCTGATGACAATAGCCCAGCTTCTGTGGGCAAGTGTCATCTGGCAGTTTAGAAGAACCCTATACATAGCTTCTCACTAGTGGGGGTGATTGTGTGCTGTTTTCCAATCAGATGTTGCGAGTAGAAAGAATGAGTTTGTGACTAGGGAGAGATGAGACTCCTTCCCCCTTTCCTTTTTAACCCCCCTTCCTCTGGTATAAATAAATATATATAAATATATATATATTTAATCTATTTTTATTAGAAGTTTTTTCTGCTCTTTTCTTACATAAACCATCCCTTTCTACCCCACCTCCTGCGTGCATCTGCAAATGTGTGTAAATAATTCCATTTCCGGGGCTAATAATGTCAAAGAATCTTGCTATCCATTGCTGTGTAGAGAGAGAGAGAGAGAGAGAGAGAGAGAGAGAGAGAGAGAGAGAGAGAGCGCAAGAGAGGAAGTAGCTTGCACATTTTTAGGTCTGTGAAACATTGTGGTTTTTTTTTTTTTTTAATTCTGCACTGGACAGTCAGCGAAAAAGAAAAGCAAAAAACGCAAAAAAAAGCACATAGGGAATTACGTTAATTGTATTTGTGTCCATAGGCAAAGCTGTGGAAGTCTTGAAATGTCACAGTAGTAAATGACTTTTATTACGTTTTGGCTAACTCCTTTTTGTGTGTGTGTTCTGTTCAAACACTGAATTATTCTGTGCATATGTGTATATATATATATGAACACAAACTGAAGGCCTCTACCTCCTGGAGTATACAACTTGGTTTGTTTACCTCCACATGATTTTTATTTTTATTTTTAAGTTCAATGTGGAGACTTGAAACTTGAATGTCCCTCCCAACTTTTATATTTAAAAAAAGGCAAGAAAAATTGAAGACTGTTTTTCACCTGTACAAAGAAATAATGAATGGATGGTCTTAAATTTTGAACATTGGTCTGGGGTATTTAGAGAGTGAGAGAGAGAGAGAGAGAGAGAGAAAGAAAAAGAAACCTTGGTGTTTGTCATGGACAATTAACTGTTAAAGTTATTGTAAGTTATCTGTATTTAGCAGAGTATTTTCAAGAAGAGTGATCTGAGCTGGAACTGAATACTATTAGTTAAGTTATGTTTTTGGAAGTTTTAACTTCAATGAAGTAATTATTTTGCTGTGAAAGAGACAAACGTTGAATTTCTCGAACAAAGATGATGAAATATCTTTGTTTTTTATGTGGCTCCTGAGGAATTAAAAACAACCACAACCAACTGAAGCATTTCAATTCACTTGAATGAATGAGAAAACGTGTTTTAACTTAAATATGAGCCCAAGAAGACACTGGTATGAAAGGTAAAATCTCAGAGGTTGGTCTGTTAAATGTGGCACACTTGCGGGTCACTTTGTACAATGTAGATTTTGAAGTACAGTGGTGGAAACATTAAATGTGACATTTGAAACAAACAAAAGAAGCACCGTGACTAAGTCTTCTGTTCTCCATCTGGCCGAGGCGGGTTGTGGATTCTCTTGCCGACTTCTCCTTTATATTGAATCCACGTTCTTGGGCTGTGTTTGCTACATGGAGTTGTCAAATGAACAGATCATTCAGAGGCTGCATGCCAGCTGCTGGACTTACATAAGATGTGGACCTCAAGGGCAGGGGTAGAGACTTTCCTTCCTGTGGAGGGCTGCATTCCTCTTGGGGGTAGAGTTTATTTCTTAAAGGCCTCCTGGTTAGTCGGGGCTGACCTAGCCATAGAAGCTGAAAGTGGGTGAGGCTACTACTATTCTCCATCCTCACTGCCCATCAGGCTACCATAGGGAGGGCAGATTTCGCTTGTCAGGGGGCTTTTGCTCTTGCTTGCTTCCATCCTATAAGGAAGCTTCCTTAGACAGAGTCAGACCGTTGGCTCATCTACCTCAGTATTGTCTGCTGTGACTGGCAGCAGCAGTGGCAGTCTAGGATTTCATACTGGGAATGCCCTTGGCCTTACCTGGCAACACCAGGGATTGCACTAAGGACCTTCTGCATACAAAGCAGATGTTCTGCCACTGAGCTGCAGCTCTTCAATGTGCTTTTCATATAAAAACCTGTACACAATTCCTCTGGCATGTGCATTGCCCCTACAGCACTTTGAAGCACATTCTACGGCACTTTCATTGCCTTGTCTTATTCCTCCCCCCCCAATTGAACAGTCAATCATTAGGGATGATTTATTCTGAACTGGATTTATTCTAAACTGGCATCTATTTTAAGTGCCCCTCTGGAACCCTTTGGATTTGGAGTGCCAACAGTGGAGCTTGTCCGTTTTGCCTCGCACATCCAAAAACCTCTTCCCATACATCACCATCTCATCCGTGCTCCAAGACTCTTCAACTTTGCCCGTCTGGTTGTAAAACTAGAAACATACAAATCATAGGAAGAAGAGGAATCAAAGGATGGTTTGTGTGCCGTTAATAAAGGAACAATTGAGGTTAAACACAGGTCGTTTCGGATTTGTTGCATCGTATTGGCGAAAAGCCCATCTGGGGGGTTGTATTTCCCCACCACACACTTCCAATAAATTGTTAGTATATTTGGGGTTGGTTATTGCTGTCGGCTGAGTAGTTGTCCATGGTAAGTACGTCCCATAACTTTGCTGTTCCAACCAGTAGTGACAACTGCTCATTGGATTTGGTGGGCCACAAGGCAGGAAGCCCAAACAGCAGGTAAAGTCAGAACCAATTCTCATTTTGTCCCCACCCTCCGCACTGCTGAGTTTGTCAAAGGTAACTGAGGAGGTGGAGGAGGAAGCTGTGAGGAAAGCCCACGCCATGGCAGATGGAGCCTGCCTGAGTTTAGGTTGGTGGGGCAGTACCCTGTTCGTCCTAATGCACCCATCTTCATGGAATACATTTTGAAAATGGCGTGGGGTCTTGTTTTCCTTTTTTCCGGTGTGCTCTGGGTTCTAACAGCAGGCAAGAGAGTAATACAATCTGTCAGGGGCTCAGGAGCAGAGGCGCAGGGGAGAGAGGAAATGGAGAGCGAAGGGGAAGAATCTGAGGGCAGCGGAGGGCAGAATGACAGTGACCCGAGAGATTCCATAAGCCTCTCCAGTGAATCAGAAGATTCCCAGAAGGGGGCGCCGATGGCCAGGGCAAGGGGGGTCCCAGGGGGGACACACCAGAAGCAGGGGGCCAGCGGAGACTCCCAAAGCAGTAGCTGGAAATCAGGGCCAGCTTCCCCACCAGAGCGTAGTGGGGGGGTAGAGCCCCATAGGTCAGAGTCAGCGTCTCCTCCGGCAAGCAGGGAGGCGGAGTCAAGCCCAGCTGGCATCCCCGAAGAGGGAAGTAGCGACAGGAGCAGTATAACGGTCAGGAGGAAGGTGGCAGGCTGGGCGCGCGCGCCAAGTTCAAATGTACAGGCGCGCGGGACAGCAGAAAGCACGGATTGGGAACCAGGTCCTAAAGCTCGCCGGAGGGAGGGGGAAGACTCAGGGGAGTCAGCCTCAGAAGAGTATAGGAAGGGCAAGACTTCGGCGGACAAGCGGACCCAGAGGAAGAGGGAGCAGAGGAAGAGGTGGAGCAAGGCTAGGGTCTTAAACTGGTGTCTGGGGGGAGGAGACTCAGACGGAGCTTCGGCGGTCTAGGGTTTCAGACGTAGGGCTGCGCGCCACGGCTGTCAAACCAATAATGAACTTCAATAAAGACTTCTGTATATAAAGAGGAACTGGCGTTGGTCCTTTGTGAGCTGGGACCTGAGGCAGCCCTGACACAATCTCTCTCTTAATTGCAGGAATTGATGAACTGTCTGAATGTCAGGTTAGATGAGCTTCATCCAAGTTGCTATGCTATGCTAGCTTCCAATTGCACTGATGGGAACTTAATAGGAAATCACGGTGGTTTTGATGGTACCCAAGTGACTGGTGATGCTTTTAAAACTGGTGTGTACCCTGGGATGCCATTGTGGTATAGAGGTTAGAGGTGCCTTTCTCGACCTTGGGTCCCCAGATGTTCTTGAACTACAACTCCCATCATCCCTGACCACTCGGCATGCTGGCTAGCAATGATGGCCGTTGTAGTCCAACAACATCTGGAGACCCAAGGTTGAGAAAGGCTGGGTTAGAGTGTCTTAACTAGGACCTGGAAGACCAGGGCTCAGATCCCTGGGTGACCTTTGGGCAGTTGCTGCCTTTCAGCCTAAACCAGGACATCATTAAGCTATTAATCACACCACCACTCTTTAAGTTTTCTTCCACCCTCCCCAGCTCAACAGTTCTGTGCCTCCTGGAGTGCAATGAATTATTATCAATAATATCCTATTCTTATTTAGCTGCAATGAAGGCTGCAGACACGCAGGGGCCATGCTAATCTTCTCTGTATCGTTCCAGTTTTAGTATATGTGCTACTGAATCAAGAAAATAAGTGCATGTTTAAGGAATCTAATTCGGGAACATAATGAGAAGATCGGAGGTCAGATTAATTGGAAATAGCTTGCAGATATTTAATTGGCTTAGGATTTCATATAAGTTAAGTGATGAATCAATATGTTTAATTTCAAAATTAAAGGATATAAGGATGTTAATGTTTTAGTTAAATTTCAGAAGAACTTTGATTTGGAAAACCGTTAAAAGGAAGTGCATGGAAATTCAACCAAGCGAGGAAGTCACTTAACAATGTTAATAAGTGTAATTTTAATAAGGTTATGATTCATGTTTATTTGTTTTGTTTATAATTTTGTGAAAATCAATTAAAAAATTATTTTTTAAAAAAGAGAAGATCGGAGGTGCTGTCAAACTTAATTACAAGACGATGTACAGAATAAGTGACAAACAAGGAATGAATGAGTGTTTATTTTTTATTTTGTCTTTAATATCCGTTGATTGTTTTTGTTATACTGTTTTAAGAGCATTTAAAAAGAAAAGAAAAAAGACACGCTATCTCTTTAAAGCACTTTTCTTCCCTCCTCCCAAAAGAATTCTGGGTACTGTAGTTTGTAAAGGGCTGCTAGGCATTGCAACTCTGCGAGAGGCGAACTACAGCCTTCCTATCATTCGAGGAGGAACAGACCGCGCTTTAAAGGCACAGCGTCTTCTCCCTGCGCCGGCTTTGCTGCCTCCCGAGCCCTTTCCCGTGGCAGCTGCGCTGAGCTCCGTCTCCTTTTGCAAGAAGCGGCCCGGCCCCTTCGCATTCCGCAGCCCTTTTAAAAATGGGCGGGCGCAAAGTGGGGCTGGAAACACCCCTCCCGCTCTTGGAGAAACCAATGGAGGAGGGAGGAAAGTGGGCCGATCTCGGGTGAGAAGTCGCTGCTGCAGGGAAGCTCATTGCTTTGCACCGAGAGAGAAAGAGGCGATGGCGGCTGGGGCAGCGACGCGCCTCCTGGAATGGATCTTCGCCTTCTATTTCCTCACTCACATCCCCATCACGCTGCTGGTCGATTTGCAATCGCTCCCGGGGGCAGGATTTTACCCCCGCAGCGTAAGTCAACCGAGGACGGGTGGCTCAAGCTGCAATCCCTTCCGTACTTTCTTAAACTTGGGGAATGGAGCTTTTATTACCATTCCTGCAAGGCGGCGGGTGGGGTGAGGTTTGCTTCTAGGCAGAAAAAGCGAAGGATCGCCCTTGTCTGCTGTGCTGTTTTTAATAATAATAATAATAATAATAATAATAATAATAATAATAATAATAATTATTATTTATTATTTATACCCCGCCCATCTGGCTGGGTTTCCCCAGCCACTCTGGGCAGCTTCTAACGAAACACTAAAATACAATAACCTATTAAACATTAAAAGCTTCCCTAAACAGGGCTGCATTTAGATGTCTTCTAAAAATTTGGTAGTTATTTTCCTCTTTGACATCTGGTGGGAGGGTGTTCCACAGGGCAGGTGCCACTACCGAGAAGGCCCTCTGCCTGGTTCCCTGTAACTTGGCTTCTCGCAGTGAGGGGGAACCACCAGAAGGCCCTCAGCGCTGGATCTCAGTGTCCGGGCTGAACGATGGAGGTGGAGACGCTCCTTCAGGTATACTGGACTGAGGCTGTTTAGGGCTTGAAAGGTCAGCACCAACATTTTGAATTGTGCTCGGAAACGTACTGGGAGCCAGTGTAGGTCTTTCAAGACCGGTGTTATATGGTCTCGCCGGCCGCTCCCAGTCACCAGTCTAGCTACCGCATTCTGGATTAGTTGTTGTTTTTCTTTCCAAGGTGCCTTTTAAGAATGCAGCTCCCGTCTTGCAACACAGTCCAAAGGGGCAAGAGCTGTACCTCGCCGGCAGAGCATATGGTCGGCATGCAGAAGGCTTTCCTCATTCCAGCCTGGATAGCTCAGTTGGTTAGAGCGTGGAGCTAATAATAATAAGAAGAATGATTTCTTATTTGTACCCTGCCCATCTGGCTGGGTTTCCGCAGCCACTCTGGGCGGCGTCCAACAAAGATTAAAAATACCGTATTTTTCGCCCTATAGGACGCACTTTCCCCCCTCCAAAAATGAAGGGGAAATGTGTGTGCGTCCTATGGGGCAAATGCAGGCTTTCGCTGAAGCCTGGAGAGCAAGAGGGGTCGGTGCGCACCGACCCCTCTCGCTCTCCAGGCTTCAGGAAGCTATCTGCAAGCCTTGGGAGCCCGGTGGGAGTTCCCGCCGGGCTCCCAAGGCTTGCAGACAGCAGCCTGCAGCCCGAAACCCAGGGAGCGCAATGGGGCTCACCCCAGGCTTTGGGCATCTCTCCGCAAGCCTTGGGAGCCTGGCGCAACTTCCCACGGGCTCCCAAGGCTTGCGGACAGCAAGCTACGGGAGTGATGGCGAGGTTGAACACAACCTTGCCATCGCTCTCGGACCCGTTCTGGGGGCTGGGGTCGGGGGAAGCTTGGGCTTCCCCCGCCCCCAGCCCCACAAGCTATGGGAGCGATGGCGAGGTTGCGCAACCTCGCCTTCGCTCCCGGACCCCCAGCCCCGAGGCTAAAAATGAAGCCAGGACAGCTAGCGGGATCCATCCCGCTCGCTGTCATGGCTTCTTTGCTCTTTGGGGCTCGGGGGGGGATTTCCCCCCCTTTTATTCCCCCCCCAATAAGTGTGCCCTATGGGCCGGTGCGCCCTATAGGGCGAAAAATACGGTACATTCAAATGTCACACATTAAAAACTTCCCTGAACAGGGCTGCAGGGTTGCAGGTTTGATCCCTATATAGGACCGCTGCATATTCCAGCTTTGCTAGATGATCCGCATTGTCCCTTCCCTCTCTACGATTCTATAATCCAGGGCCTATAAAACCAAGTGGAGTGTTTGCTCTGCGCCTGTAGCTTTTTGCCCTCGGGTCAATGTGCCTGAATTCTTGACTGCAGTCCTTGCCAGTGCTTGCTGAAAGATCCCTGAGATTATGCCGTTAATATCTTGCTGTTAAGAATATTATTGTGGGCGTTCTTCTGCAAGAAACGAAAACACATATGGACTATACATTTAGAGCAGGATCATGCCGCTTTGATAAGCGATGCCTTCCCCCAAAGAATCCTGGGAGTTGTAGTTTGTTAAGGGTGCTGTTAGGGAGACCCCTTATTCCCGCACACCGAGGTACAGTTCCTAGTTTCATGGGAAGAGGACTTTGACTGTTAAACCACTCTCTAAGAATTGTAGCTCTGTGGGGAGAATCAGGGGGGGTGTCTCCTAACAAATCTCAGCACCCTAAACAAACTGCAACTCCCATGGTTCTTTTGGGAAGCCATACCTGTTCAGAGTGGAATGATGCTGCTTGAAATGCATATTGATATGACATTGAATTGTAATCCCAGATTAAACCACGGTTTCCCAGTCTCCAGTAATGTGGGTAATATCTCCCTATTGCAGATTGGGCAGGTGGCTGATCTGATCCTGGTTTCATATCCTCGTTTGTAATCCAATATTAATATTAAGTTCAAATGTAACAGGAAACTGTGGTTTAACAAGCCGTAGGCAAGAAAAGAGGGGAGGGTCTAATAAACCGTGGCTTGCTAGATTGCTGTGACCTGCGGCTATGTGACTGTTCCCCCCTATTCTTTTTGCTTATATTTATCTTTAAAGAGCCATTTGTACTGATGGCATATTAACAGTGGTCAAAATAAGAGACAGGAGATTTTTATCTTTAGCTGCAGCTAACATTACCTTTCCCCCTCTCTCTCCCTAAGCTGAAAGAATTGACAAGCTGGTACACGGTTTCATTTAAGGACCCCATGATGCAAGACCCCCCGCCTGGTTCAGGGCCTTCATAGTCTGCGAAGCCTTCCTGCAGTTGCCTTTCTTCCCTATTGCAGCCTATGCCTTCTGGAAAGGTTGGTGCGCCAATTGGGGTGGGCTTCGGGGGAAGCACTTGTGATTAGGAATGTAGGAAGCTTGGTCCATCTAGCCCAGTATTGTCTGGGCTCTTCAAGGTTTCTGGCAGGGGGCATGAGAACAGTGGAACGGTCTCCCTCAGGAAGCTGTGGACTCTCCTTCCTTGGAGGTTTTTAAGCAGGGCTTGAAAGGCCATCTGTCATGGATGCCGTAGTCGAGATTCCAGCATTGCAGGGGGTTGGACTAGATGACTATAGAGGTCCCTTCCAACTCTACAATTCTATGCTTCTATGACTTGATGGGCCTTTGGCCTGATCTCAACAGGGCTCTTCTAAGGTTCTCATGAACATTATGGCCAATAGCTCAGCAGCTTTTGCTAATGTTACCCAACTAGTGTTTTGATCTGCATTTTAACAGATAATTTTATATACAGTGGATGCTCGGGTTGTGAACATGATCTGTGCGGGATGCACATTCGCAACCCGCAGCGGTGCATCTGCGCATGCCCGGGTTGCGATTCTGCGCATGCGCAAAGCGTGATTTAGCGATTCTGCGCATCCGCGACCACCAAAACCCGGAAGTAACCCGTTCCAGTACTTCCGGGTTTCGGCGGGTGCGTAACCTGAACAAATGCAACCTGAAGCGGCTGTAACCCGAGGTACGACTGTATATATATGCCAGGGATGTCCAACAGGTAGATCGTGATCTGCTGGTTGATTGCGGGGCATCCCTGGTCGACCCTGGTAGACCGTGTGACCTTGATTGATTCCCCCCCCCCAAAAGCTCAAACTTTTGGGTCTTCGCCCCCAAAAAAGCTGAACAACTTTGGTCAATAGAATGGGTAGATCAATGCCAGTTGTTTTTTTTAGTGGGAGTAGATCGCAGTAACACCAAATAAACCTTCATATAGACATAATAATTGAAGGCTGTCATCATGCAGCCCCCGTGGGAGGACTTCTTGCACCGCATCGCAATTTTGGATTGCATGCAGCTGCGGTGGGGGCAGGGAGCAGAAGAGAAGGCGGGGTTTATACTGGTGGTTTCAAACAACAGCAGAAGTTTGAATAAAGCAGGGGTGGAGGGACGCAGAAGAACCGTAAGACTGTGGGGGCACTGCTGGAAGGAGCTGTGAGGGGCTGGGGGCTTGGGTGAGATGCAAAGGAGGGCGGGGCTGTCTTAAATTGTTTTTAAATGTTATATGTTTATTTGGGTATTTGTGAGTTGGGGGATTGGTTAGGGGCTTGTTGGGCAGTGTCCATTTTTTATTAATTTGCATCTATTAGTATTGTTAATTGTTTTAATTATTTTTATTACGTATTTTGTGACTTTATTTTGTAACTTTGTGTTGTGAACTGCCCTGAGACCTATGGGTATAGGGCAGTATACAAATTTGAATAATAATAATAATGTAGGGAGAGTTATTGAGCAGGATTAGCATGTGTGTGCATGTGCGATGTGATCTGAAGAATATTTAAATTCTGCTCTTAAAAAAATCCAGGCAACTGCAAATGGATCCGAATCCCGGCCATCATTTACGCGACGCATGTCATGACCACGCTGCTCCCCATCTTCAGCCACGTCCTGTTCAACGATTTCTCGCGGTCCAAGCACCCTGCGCCCCAGACGCTGCACGAACGCTTGACTCTCTGCGCCATTTACAGCCCTTACTTCCTGATTCCCTGCCTCATTCTTCTCACGATGCTCCTCAGCCCCCTGTATAACCAGGTGGATAAAAGGAAAAAGAAATAAGCCGGCGAGGATTCTTCCTAAAACAGGGGGAAGGAGTCAGCCCTTGGATTCAGAAGCTTGCAAACTGGGCCAATAAAATGTTTTGGTTTTTTTTAAAAAAATTGTTTTGGTGTCTGTGACGTGGATCGATGTATAGCTGAAGGGGAGTGGAGGGACTAGCGGAACGAGGGCCACGTTTTCTTCTGGGCAAACTTCTGAGGGCCACATGCCAGTGTGCAGTCACAAAAAAAACCCCCAAACCCTATCCATCCAGACAGGCAAGAAGCCCTTTCAGAGTGAAAGACATAGTTCAGTCCGGCAGCAACACTTGAGGAGGGTGTGAAGGTTGTTTTCTGGGGAAGAGTCCCAGGGCCAGATGGAGAGCATGTGACTCAGTCTCAGGGTTATGCCACGTTGGGCAGAATGATTCCTGCATTGCAGGGGTTTGCACTAACTAGATGACCCTCTTACAGATAGGTAGCCGTGTTGGTCTGCCATAGTCAAAACAAAAAAAATCCTTCCAGTAGCACCTTAAAGACCAACTAAGTTAGTTCTTGGTATGAGCTTTCGTGTGCATGCACACTTCTTCAGATACTTTCAGATACTTTCAGACACTTTTTCAGATACTTTCGTGTGCATGTACACTTCTTCAGATACAGGTATCTGAAGAAGTGTGCATGCACACGAAAGCTCATACCAAGAACTAACTTAGTTGGTCTTTAAAGTGCTACTGGAAGGAATTTTTTTTTGTTTTGTAGATGACCCTCGTCCCTTCCAACTGGGCAGTTCTATTATTCCAATTCTCTTTGGCCCCCAGCTTCTCCATCCCTGACATAACTGAAGCCCCTCATTATTTACCAAGGAGGAAGTAGAATTTGGCCATTTCCAAATCGACGTCCTGCCCTCGAAACAACCTGCTGATCTGGTAAAAGAGGTTGTTTCTCCTCCGGGTGTGTGTCGAAAGAGCACCGATGCTAATCTATTACCCTCTTGGTTCATTCTTATCCCAGGATATTCCAGAAGAAAGGGGTCATGTGCTTCTCCTTTCCCCCAGGGTGAGGGATTAAGAGCAGCTTTGTCTGAATGAGCTGTCGCTCTGCAAACCAAATACTGTAGACCAGACATTTCCAACTCCCAAGAGACACTGATCTACTCCCAGTATTAAAAAACGGGCAGTGATCTACCCATTGTCATTGGAGGAAGGAGGAGTGTGCATGGAGTGGGTGGATTGCCCAGAGTTGTTGAGCTTTGGGGGGGGGGAGAATTGCAGGTTTTTTTAGTCCCCCCCCTTAACTTTTTGTACACGATAAGGATCCCGTGATCTACCAGGATCAGCCAAGGACCTACCGGTAGATTGCAATCTACTGGTTGGACATCCTGCTGTAGACATGGCGTTGTATCAAAGTCACTTGGTACAATACTTCTTGCACTGGCAAGATGGTAAGGATGCAGGTGGCGCTGTGGTCTAAACCACTGAGCCTAGGACTTGCCGATCAGAAGGTCGGCGGTTCGAATCCCCGTGAAGGGGTGAGCTCCCGTTGCTCAGTCCCTGCTCCTGCCAACCTAGCAGTTTGAAAGCACCTCAAAGTGCAAGTAGATAAATAGGTACCGCTTCGGTGGGAAGGTAAACGGCATTTCCGTGCGCTGCTCTGGTTCGCCAGAAGCAGCTTAGTCATGCTGGCCACATGACCCGGAAGCTGTACGCCGGCTCCCTCGGCCAATAAAGCGAGATGAGCGCCGCAACCCCAGAGTCAGTCACGACTGGACCTAATGATCAGGGGTCCCTTTACCTTTACTGGCAAAATGATGTTCCACAAGAGGAAAACGTGAGTACATTATGAAAGGATGGAATTGGAGAACTGTAGTTTTGGAAGGTGCCACAAGGGGCAACCCCCCTGCATAGCAGGAACCACGGCTGCAGAATCCCTGGCAGATGGTCAACCTCTGCTTAAAGACCCCTCAACGAAGGGGAGTCCGCCACCACCTGAGGTAGTCCTTTCCACTGTCAAACAGCTCTTGCCCTCATAAAGTTATTCTGATGTTTATTGGGGTCTTTCTTCCTTGTCATTTGAACCCATTGGTTGGGGTTCTGCCTTCTGAAGCAGTAGATATTATGGCCATATTCAAATATTACTTCTCAAGCCTTCAGGCAAAACACACCCAACTCCCTCAGCTGTGCCTCGTAAGGCTCGGTTTCCAGACCCTTGATCATCTTGGTCACCTAGTCAATCTGCTCCTCAGAGTGCAGTGTCCAGAACTGGACAGTTGTGCGGCAGATTGCACAAGATTCAAGTGTCGGGTCACAAGGACCACGAGCGATGCCAACTTTTCCCATGTCAGCCTAATTTTACATGCTCTCCCAATCATGTTTCCAACCCACACCCAAATGTACTAAGGGCAACTTAAAAAGGAAATGAGGCGTCTTTAAAAACAATAATTTATTTCCTGATTTCCTTGAAAGTATTTTACAGGGCTTTTTTTATTAAAAAAAAAAAAAGAACAATGGGAAGTTGTGTAAAAACACAGCACAGTCTGATGACTATATAAATGACTGGCCATATTAAAAAAACTTCAAAAATACAATAGCTGTAGCTGTCCCTTTTAGAAATATCTTATTGCCAGACCTAAAGTAAGTCCAAAAGAGTATTTAAGATCTAAACTTTTTTTTGTTTTGTTTTTGAGAGGTGATCTTGGTCAATTCAAAAAATAAAAAGGTCAAAATTGCCCCCTCCCATTTCCTCCCCCTAAAAAAACCCCATTAGACTATAGGAATGGTTCAAGATTTCCCAGTGCGTTTGGTGCTGGTCATAAATTCTCTCTCTCATTCTCTCTCTCTCTCTACTTCTGGAAAATGAATTGGTCGATGAATTCGTTCTGGTCCGCTTCTATTTTACACAGCGTTTGATATTCGATGCGGTACCTGGAGAAAAAGCAGAGCAAATGTGTTAGCTCGGCCGTCTTCCAAGTCCAATCAGCCACAGCTGGCCAAAATGGCTGAAGGGTCAAGAGATGACAGGAATTGCCCACTTGGCATGTCTGAAAAAGTGTGCTCTATTCAGGACTCGCTAACTTTTGACCTTCCAGATTTTGCTGTACGCAACGAGGACAGACCTGGCAGCTTTCCGTCAGTCTGAATCAGTGTGCTCAGTGACCGGATCTATGTCCCTTCTTTGGGGAAGGTTTCAAGAATGGTGCTGTAGGAGAAATCCCTTTTCAGTTGGGGCTCCACATCTGTGGAACACTCTCTCCCATGAGGTCCACCTGGCATCTTCACCAACCTCTTCCTTGGCACAAGGTAAAAGCTTGCCCTTTTTGCCAAGCTCCTGATGAACAAGGACAGGTGAGGAGGGATGTCGCTGAACTACAACCTCCCTCCCATCCCTGGCCATTGGAATGATGGGAGTTGTAGTTCAGCAATGCCTGAAAGGCTGCAGATTAGGCACTCAGGCTCCCTGCTTTTGCCATGAAGGGCTTTCAGCTTCGAAAGTGTGTAATAAGCAAGACTCACATACAAACAAACAGTATCTCATATTATATGAACACAAGAAGCTGGCATCGGAGTTTTACAAGCACATGCAAAAGCATTCCCCAGATAAGGAATACTATTGGCCACCTGCTACAGATCACAGGTTAAAAGCTCCCTTCCCAAGTTTGGTTTTTCTCAGATTTCAGCCGGATTAAGAAACCACCAGGCAATTGCGTGAAGGTGGGGCTAGATTACTTCATCCCCTGTATGCCCACTTGACCATTCCGATCTGCACAACTGGCACGGCTACAGATGCCAAATAACACTCATTACACCAGTGCAAGAAATCAATCTTTTAGTGTAGCAGCACCTTTGCAACTCCCTGCTGAATGACACCCCCCAAAAAAAACACCCCTCAGGAATTAGAAGCTGTCAGTCAGTTGCATGAACTTGAAAAAGGGACTTTAAAAAAAAACACCAGTGATCTGCAGCAGGTGGATTCCTTGTTTTGAGGGATTCTGTATGCGTTTCTGCAACTGTCAAGCTCTTGATCTTTTCTCTCTATAATATAAATACTATTTGTATCGATTTGTGCTTATTTATTGTGCAGGTAGTGGCAGGACTCCTACTGGGTGCATCTTCAACTCAAAGGTGTCCCACAGGATCCTCTCATTTTTGCTGGCCACAAAGTAAAAACATTCAAAGAGACATGACTGCTCAGTTGGCTAGAGAGTGGTGCAGAAAATGCCAAGGTTCAATCCTTTTATGGCGCAGCTGCATTTTCCTGCATTGCAGGGGGGCTGGACTCGGTAATCCACAGGGTCCCATCCAACTCTATGATTCTATGACTGGCTGAGGTCCAGCTCTGAGGGCCTTCTGGCGGTTCCCTCGCTGCGAGAACCCAAGTTACAGGGAACCAGAAAGAGGGCCTTCTCAGTAGTGACACCTGCCCTGTGGAACGCCCTCCCATCAGATGTCAAAGAGAAGAAGAGCTACCAGACTTTTAGAAGACATCTGAAGGCAGCCCTGTTTAGGGAAGCTTTTAATGTTTAATAGACTATTGTATTTTAATATTCTGTTGGAAGCCGCCCAGAGTGGCTGGGGAAACCCAGCCAGATGGGCAGGGTATGATTAATTATTATTATTATTATTATTATTATTATTATTATTGCTGCGGGATCAGGCTAATGGCCCATCTAGTCCAGGACCCCGTTCCCACAGTGGCCAACCAGATGGGAAAACCATAAGTAAGACCCAAGCACGAGAAAGCTCTCCTCTCATGCAGCTTCCTGAAACTGGTATTCAGAGCGTACTGCCTCTGACAATGGAGGCAGAACAAAGCCATCAGGGCTAGTAGCCATTGAGAGCCTTGTGGTCCATGAATCCTCTCCTAAAGCCATCCAGTATACCTGAAGGAGCGTCTCCACCCCCATCGTTCTGCCCGGACACTGAGGTCCAGCGCCGAGGGCCTTCTGGCAGTTCCCTCACTGCGAGAAGCCAAGTTACGAGGAACCAGGCAGAGGGCCTTCTTGGTAGTGGCACCTGCCCTGTGGAATGCCCTCCCACCAGATGTCAAAGAGAAGAACAACTACCAGACTTTTAGAAGACATCTGAAGGCAGCCCTGTTTAGGGAAGCTTTTAACGTTTAACAGACCA